TGGCTTTAAATGTGTAAAAATTAATGGCAGAATTCGAATTGATGTTGCAAGAAATACGGAAATAGCAAACGTTAAAACACATTTACGTAAACCGTTTTTCTTATTTAATAATATGTAAGTTAATGGTAAACATGGAATGAATACTATGGCACCCCAATTTAATAATAAATCAACTGTTGATTCTGAAATAAGATAATATTGTTCAGCACTTAGAGCAATGGGTGAAAATGTTAACCAGATCATGCAATGATTAAACGAAAGAAATGAAAATACAAATAAAATCCAAAAACGCTGTGGATATAATTTATAAACTGCACATACAGAATGATCAGCTTCTGTGGTGTAATTCTGATTCCGATGATTATCATTTAGAATAAGAAAAATATTTGATGGATCATCGGTGGTACTCATTACTCCTCTTTATAGGACGAAAACAAAGACAACTACAATATAAGCGAAGTATGAAGTTTATTCTACAGGTGAGAGATAAGAAAAAGTAGTTTGTGTTAGAGAAGAGTCAATTATAGACAAACATTACCTTTGACAGTTTGTATGAACTGGCATGGTTCCTTAAACAGAAATATTTGAAATTGTTAGATTTCGCCGACAATAAATGAGCAGATTTATGATAAACATACGTACTTTTTTGGCAGAGATATCACAGCATTACTTTTTTTGCTTATTTTTTTTGCCTATAACTCCGAAACACGAGTTTTGCACATATTAATGTTTTCCTCTCACTTTCGTACTTTTACTTGAACAACAGTTTTTTCTACACACAAAAGCATGAATAACATAGAAGATAAATGAGCTAGAATAAAGGATAAAAAAAGAACTTCTGATGTATCAGAAAAAGAAATTGATACAAACACACATAAAGATGTCTTTACACAACAAACTTTTAGTCACACCATTTATTTTCAGTCTACATGATGAAATGATACTGAGTGATATGAGCCGTGTCTAGCCACCCTTGATGCTAAACCTACGTTAACGTTAATTTAAAGTTGAACTCGAACTTCCGAACACCAACTTTTCGAACACGAACTGTTCGAAACTGAACTTCGAAAGTAGGTTCAGATTCGTATCATCTCAAGCATGCATAACCAACCGTGAGCTGTCATCAGTTTAGAGTGCAGTGAAAACGACTACCAATGGTTGCTAACAATTATATCCTTATATATTTCAGAATAACTCATTTCTATTTAGGGAAGCCATCAAAAATAACTGAAGGCGTGGAACGTGGACGTGGACTACATTCCACGCATAGAGAAGTTTGTTCTTTTCTGTCGATGTGTAGACATCTTTCTTTTTTCTTTTTCTCGCTTAAATGGCAGAAAGAGAAA